GTTTTACTAACATATATACTCGAAGACTTCCTCGGACAGGAAGTGTGATATATCATCCAGGTCTTTATTTGAAAATATTTTTATTTTACTCTCATACTGCAAAGATAGTTTGGACATAGAATTTTAGGCTCCAAAGATTTTTTTTCCCCTTACAACTTGGAACACATTGTTTCATTATCTTCTGGCCAATATGACTAATGACAAGTTAGATGGTACCCTGAATTTGTCTTTGGAAACTTTACAATATTTTTTAATGTTTGGTGTTCTGAAACTTCAAGAGGATGTACTGGCTGAGCAGTTATTTTCATTCAACCTGCTGAGTACTCAATGGATTCATCAAATGTGAAGTGTATCCTATTATTTCTTTAAAAAATCATCCCATCCATTTTCTGTTCTCTCTCTAATTCCTCTTAGCTACCTGACGGGTTTCTGTAACTCCTGTATTAATTCTCTATGACTCTTGCCTTTATCCTTCAAATTTGCCATCTCTTTGCCATTTGATTTAAGCTCTAGGAAAGCATTTTGACTTTATATTTCAGCTATTCTTTTGAATTTCATATTTTGGAGGTTATATATTAATTTATAAGAACTCTTCTGTGTTCTCTGTTAGTTCTCTTCTCAGTCAGACTGTTCTTGTTTTATAAATGCAATATCTTCTCAAATTTCTTTCAAGATAGCTATTAAGAAGTTTTAAAATTTCTTCCAGTTTTTGAATTATTTCTTTTCCTTTGAGACTATTTGGTCTTTTTTTCTTAATTTCCTGCTGGTGGTTGTCCTCAAATGTCTGACGATCTTTTGTGTACATTCATGTTGATGAGTGATGGATTTGTTTTATAATAATAGCTATCTAGTGCAAGTTTCTTTTTAATTTGGGTTGGTGATATGTTTCTTAAGAGGTACCGCCCCTGAATGAGAAGGCCGACAAGGAAATCTGTGCAAATGCGCAGGACTAACTGACAGATTTTGCCTTAGGATGTACATGTGTGGGAATCAGCCTGAGATGAGACATTCTGCTTCATCTCCACCCACCAAATGCCAGAACAAGGGGAGCTTTCCTCTTAGATCAACATCCCCACTAAAATACTAATTCCTCCCCAGCTAGTTTATCCATTTGTTTTCGTGAAGAGTCTCTTGCTATTCTTTCCCCCTTTTTAGGAGATAAAAACCTGGTGCTCTCTGCCCTACGTGGGAGTGTAAGCAGTAACCCTAGCCTAAATGCTGGCTGACATCTTATAAGGCTGACTGGCAGCCACTTCCCCTGAAGTCCCCTCATACACGTAATTGGGCTTTGGTTTCCTCTGTTCCATGTTCTCATCTGCTTCCATATTCAAGAAATGCATTGAAGTCTCCCATCTACGAAAGACCTTCATTGATCTCAGTTTCTTCATTGCTAAAGATTAATTTCTTTTTGAACTTCCATACAGTCATTTGAGCAGAACATCTGCGAAGGGCAGTGGTACACTCCTGTGCTTACTTTACCATCTCACACCAGGCACTTGCCCACCTCCACTGTGCTGTTTTTAAAAACGGGATTTTTTGTTGTTGTTGAATGTATATTCTTTTCTTATCTATATACCTACTGCTTTACATGATATTTCTGGAGATTAGAATAGGCTCCTATTGAAGCAAAGAAAGAAATAAAAAAGGAAAGAAAGAAAGAAAGAAGAAAGCAAGCAAGCAAGCAAACGAACATTTAAATGGAAGCAAACAAATGAAATAAATTGAGATAATAACAAGAAGTGCCACTCTGTCTTAAGCATGTATGATAAGCAGTTAAAAACAGTCGACATTGTTAATCCCTTTGAAAGACCTTGGTGCCTAACCATGTGCCACAGATGTTAAATGAACAGCTTTCAAGAGACACAGAGTTGTTTCTGAATAGGTTAGTGTGTTTTTGCCAGCAGGGTTCGCAGCACACAGGGGATACCTGCTCCAGAGTGTCTGTGGGAGAACTCAGACACATCATTTCCCCTCCAGCTGTTGAGGGTCTATTGATTAAAGGATAATACATCACAGATACTGCAAGTGTTTAAGACTCCAATTTAAAAAACATACTTGCTACTTTACTTATTTCCTTCCCGTGAAACTCATTCAGACCCTTAAACTCTATTGCCATGAGGATAGCAGAAAATTTAATCTCAGTTGCTGTTGTAATCTTTTCCTTCTTAGAGCTTCAATTGAATCGTGGAGCCCAACAAGCAGAGAGAAGCCAGTTTACCCACATTGGAAATGCTGGCATCTTCATTGTACCTGAAGTCCAACAGATTTTTACTGTGCCTATTTGTCCAAAGAGGACATTCAGGGCTTTGGTGCTGTTTCTCTTTGAAGTCTTTTTACTTTGTTGAGACCCTGTGTTGGAGTGGTATGATCTCCCCTTCTCGAGAGGTCTGTGGACTTTTTACCCCTCTTTAAAGTATTCTATTGAGGCATTTTGGTGTAATCTCCTTAATTGTTGGATCCTTTGGTAAATATCAAATCTAAATCAATAGATCACTTCTACCTTCTGCCCTTCCTTGAGACAATGAATCCAGAACAGACCCTCTGCCTGATAGGAGTGTGGGCAATGAGTGGGAGTGGAGGATAAACGGAAGGAAGAGGACAAATATCAGAAGAAAAAAAAATCAGTTAATGTTTCAAAAATACTACTACGCCATAGTAGGGACATTTAACCACAAAGGGCTGCCTCATGGGCTATGTGGATGAAATGAAACGGCGTCTAGGCCAGGATGAGTTGTAGCGGGTTAAGGGCGAGTGGGAACAGGGGAGAGGTAGGAAGATTTTTCTGGAGAGTTACCACAGAATTTATGACAGAATTTGAGAAGGAGATGAAAATAGCCTCCAGCTGTGGTGAATGGTTATTAGCCAGGCCCACTCCTCAGCCATGCCCCTCCCACAGCCACACCCCCACCCCATAGCCACGACCCCTGCCCCAGCATTTTGTCAAAAGCCTTTGGCCAAAGCTATGAGGCGCTGCATTCCTGAAGACTCCTGAGTCCAGACTGACGCTCCTGGAGGCCATGTGAATGTAAAGAATGGTCATCTTGCCTGGAGATTTTACTAATCTTTATAGGGAGGAGGACTCATATCCCCTGAAAAGTTCATGGCTACAGAAATCAGTACCTGTGGCTTTCACACCATTGCCACAAAGCAGCCTCAGGGTGCTGCTAGCTGATCCCACACATATTCTGAAGATCTCCAGTTTCAGGAGGAGACAGTGTGGTTCCATTTGGATCCAGTGATGACATCTATTCACTTAAAAGCCATAAAGATTCATTTTGGGCCATGTGCTGTGGCTCATGCCTGTAATCCTAGCACTTTGGGAAGCCAAGGTGGGCGATCACTTGAGGTCGGGAGTTCCAGACCAGCCTGACCAACATGGATAAACTCTATCTCTACTAAAAATACAAAATTAGCCGGGGGTGGCGGCACATGCCTGTAATCCCAGCTACTTGGGAGGCTGAGGTTGAACCCGGGAGGCGGAGGTTGCGGTGAGCCGAGATCGCGCCATTGCACTCCAGCCTGGGTAAAAAGAGCGAAACTCCGTCTCACAAAAAAAAAAAAAAAAAAAAAAAAAAAAAGGCAGGTGTTGAACAATTAGAACACGTGGACATAGGGAGGGGAGCATCACACACTTAAGTATGTATGACACTGCGGTCAGTATGTGGGGGGCTAGAGGAGGGACTGCTGGGGATGGGGAGGGTGGGGAGGGATAAAGAGGGGAGAAATGCCAGATATAGGTGATGAAGAGATGAAGGACCATGTATGTACCTATGCAACAATCCTGCATGATCTGCACATGTACCCCAGAACCTAAAGTACAATTAAAAAAAAAAAAAGAGAAAAGTTTAAATAAATGTAGAGATATAACAACAACAAAAAAATAATTTTGCCAGAAAAAAAGCATGGAAGAGGATTATGAACATTGACTCAAGCAGATACTCAAACCAAACCCATGGACCCACTGGGCTGCGTAGCTGATGCCACCACGGATAAGCACTGCTGCCTATGGCGGGCCCTGCTGTAGCCACCGTCAGCTTTCTGTTATGCACCCATGAGAAACAAAGTGTTGGGTGTCTGCTGGGTCCCACGAGAACTGGAAAGTCACACGGCAGCTTTTCTGTCGGGCATATCTTCAGCCTTCTTCCCCCAAAGACTGGCTCCTCTGCTCAGGGCTCAATATGACCACTGGTCTCAAGTCTGCATGATTTTGTTTTGACTCCCACTAGTAATGGACACAATCTCTCAGTGAGCCAAACCCCATTTCGTCTGAGAGAGATTCTGATTTCCCAAGATTTAGTTGTGTCCGTTACGCCCACGGAGCTGCTTCCTGGAAGAGGTAAGTTTATTGATAAAGGCACAGTGGTCTGATTATGTCCCTCAGCCAAAGCTGCAGATGTGGACAGATGATTTTATAAAAGCACGAAGGCTCCAAGACAATAATTAATAATTAACCATTTCAATCTCCTATTCATCCACAGTTAGACTTTGATGTCACTAGTGTAGACACTGTAACAGTCATGTCTCATCACAGTGCATGCTGCGTTTGGTTTCAACATTTTCAATATTTTCTATTTCTGATTTCAGGTGCGGTGCCAGATTTACATGATATAGAAATAAACAGAAGATTAACTTACAGAATGATTTTAGGATGTTTCACATGGTTTTCAATAACTAAGGAACCCCACGATATCATCATTAGTATTCACTACATCAAGTGAAGGAATAGGCAGTAACACACATGCCTTGTCCAAAAATAAATCAAAAGGGCTATTATTCTTCATGGACACATTTAATTTCCACGTTAACTTCTCCCAAAGACAACAATCAGCAATTTTATCACCTACTGGAGAAAGGCATTCCAGGGCCTCAGGGCTCATCAAAATGAATGCGTTTTCTACAACATCCAGTAGTTATTGACTCCTGTACGCTAAGCCATGTCGATAAACACAGGCCACCATTTTCTCTGTGCTATTTTAACTCCTACCATTTTTACATTTCAGAACAAGAGCTACTCTTAGCCAGAAAAATGCCAGATGGTACTGAGGAATCAGACTCATACTATTCCAGAGCAATGTCATCTGCAGAAGAGAGCCAGTAGCTAATTGACAGAGATGCCCTTGTTGTTTTCATGGAAGTCAAGATGTCCTATGTCTATCACTAGACCTGTCCTTCTATAATTGGCTTGGGTCTCAAGCTCCCTTTGGAACTTTATTCTAGGTATGCTTTTGCCTCTTCAGTTCTATCTTCAGATATAACGCTGCAGTGCCTTCTTCCTTCAATGGGCTTCTCTGTAATCCCAGCGACTCAGTTTTGAGTTGGAGTTTCGCTCTTGTTACCCAGGCTGGAGTGCAATGGCGCAATCTCTGCTCATCGCAACATCCGCCTCCTGGGTTCAGGCAATTCTCCTGCCTCAGCCTCCTGAGTCGCTGGGATTACAGGCACGCACCACCATGCCCAGCTAATGTTTTGTATTTTTGGTAGAGACGGGGTTTCACCATTTTGATCAGGATGGTCTCGATCTCTTGACCTCGTGATCCACCTGCCTCGGCCTCCCAAAGTGCTGGAATTACATCAAATGGCTTCTCTTTACTTCTCCAGCTTTGAGAAATCCATCCTCCTCTCCCTCAGAGTTAACTTAGCTTTTCTCATCTGCATCAATCTTTGAATAACTATCATTTGTTATCAGGAATGCCTTTTCAAAGATGTATCTATTTTCTATCTCCCCAACCAGCTAATAAGATATTTCCAGACAACTAAATATTTTGCCTCTTTCTCTCCACTTTGGGGCTTCCATAGTGGTTTTCCCTTAGTGAGTGTCTAATTAATATTTGTTGGCGAAGAGATTGCTGTCCTGAGACTTGCTGTATTCCGAACAGAAAGTTCAGAAGAACAGTCCTATAGGGCACGATAAAATCAGGAACTAAATAGTGAAGTTTAGGCTAAACCAAGATACCATAAGGTGTCTTGGAGTAGATTTCCCCAGAAAATTGTTAGTTACTCAATAATTCACAGTTACAGAATGAGTCACAGAAGATATGGCCAGGAAATTCTTTTTTGCATGTCATTCCAAAGTTAGCTTGTAAGTGTGGCCCAAGTCCAGTGATTTTCAATTATCTGTCTGTGGATGCATTTGCTACCACAAATTCATGTATGAAATACTTGATTTCTTCATCCGCCTTCCAGGTTGGAGTATTGTAGCAGTATGTGGAAATTTAGCAAACACAGAGGTAATTCTTTTTAATTTTTTTTTTAAATGTTTAAAAATGTATTCCTGGCAAGCTGTAACAGAAGTGATCCTGATAATCTTTTGAGAATGATTGTTCTGGGATAGCAGTTTTCAAAATGTGTTTCCCAGAGCAGCGCATCAACATCACCTGAGAGCCTGCTAGAAATGTAAGTTCTGGGGCCCAAAACTACTAACCAGAAACTCAGGGGTGGCCCAGCAGGTGTTCTCTGCTCCAGATGATTCTGAAACATGCGAACATGTGAGAATCACCATTCTAAGGTTGTCTTATGATTGTAATAATCTGTTATTTCTAAGGAAACCTTTGGGATAAAAATTCGTCTGATGTTCTGTTATTTCTAGGGAAATAATCTGTTATTTCTAGGGAAACTTTTTGGATAATTTGGAAATTTATCTGATTGTTTAATAATAGGTGACACTGCCAACAATTTGAAATCTTCTCGTTTAACAGATTTTTTGCTAAGTGTTCCTATATGCCAGATATTATGCTAGGTACTGGAAATACAGAGAAAAGTAGGTCCTAATATCTGCCTCAAGGAGGCCTTAGACTCAAATGGGATATGCACATGTGAACAAATAATTATGATTCAGTGCTAGAAAATGTACATATAAAAGATTAATTCTGTTATGAAAGATGTGGTCCAAGAAGACTTTTGGATCCTGTCCCAGTTCTGAACCCTGAGAATTACGTGTAGAATTCAGCTAGGTATTGAAATATCCACTTAAGACTTAAAATGACTTAAGCGAGTTTGAAGAATGAAACGTGGAACTTCTGGCCTTTGCAGTCCTCCTGTCCATGTGAAGACCTGTGATTTACTGCAAGAGGGTAACTGAGTCTGCAGAATGAATGTTTGGCCAGCCAGAAGTGTTACTACAGCCAATCTCCAAGGTCAAGTCCAAAACAGCAAGAGGCCAGGAGAAAGAGGTCCCGTGAAAGCTCTAGCATGGCCGTCCACCGGAGCAAGGGGGCGCCCTAATGCTGCGTATTCTTGCCTTGAACTTCAGGAACACTGAGTGTGGGGAGAAAGTGTTATTCCCTCCTGCGAATGGCATTTAAGTTCTTTCTCTTTAAGGAAAACATGGAACTAAGTACAGTGCCCTCCAGCAAAAGCTAGGGGTTTGTAGGCAGATGAGCAGGAGGGAGCATTTCAGATGGAGGGAAGGGCACATGCAAAGATCCTGGGGCCTCAAATAACAAGGAAAATCTGTGGAAGGTTGGCATGGGGTTTGGTTGTTGAGTTTTTCAGTTTTTATCTTCAGTTAGGGTCAGCAGACTGAATTCTTTTAAACATTAGAAAAGGAACTTCATTGGTTTTGAAACAGAGAAAAATGGGGCCGGGCACAGTGTCTCACACCTGTAATCCCAGCATGTTGGGAGACCGAGGTGGGCCGATCATTTGAAGTCAGGGGTTCGAGACCAGCCTGACCAACATGGTGAAACCACCTGTCTCTACTAAAAATACAAAAATTAGCCAGGAGGCAGTGGCACACGCCCGTAACCCCAGCTACTTGGGAGGCTGAGGCAGGAGAATCGCTGGAAGGCAGAGGTTGCAGTGAGCTGAGATTGTGCCACTGCACTCCAGTCTGGGTGACAGAGTGAGACCCTGTCTCAAAAAAAGAAAAAAAAAAAAACCAGAAAAAAATTGAAAAGATATACATGACCAGTAATTGGAGATGGATAAAGTCAATTATGGTAGAGCCATGTAATGAAAGAAAATGGAATCATATTATAGGGCTTTATATTTACTTTATTTACATTTTATATTATTTATTTATAGCCATACATTATTTATATTTATAATATTTATTTCTTATTTCTTTACTTATTTTATGAAATAAGAACTGGAAAAACATGGAAATGCATACTCCACAATGTTAACAATGAGTACCTTTGAAATGTGACTCAGTTATTAGTATTATTATTATCATTTTAGAGAAAAGGTCTTGCTGGTTGCCCAGGCTGGAGTACAGTGGCATTATCATAGCTCAAGGCAGCCTTGAACTCCTGGGCTCAAGCAATCCTCCTGCCTCAGCCTCTAAGTAGTTTGGATTATAGATGAAATTATCAACTGCTTGAGTGTTCTTTGTTTTGTGACTTTCCTTGTTTTTCAGTTTTGGGAAGTGGCCATGTACTGCTTGTACTATTAGGAAAAAAAATGACAATAGGTCTTATTTATGAGGCAGAGCTGCACGCTTCTCCAATGAATGGCCATGGATGATCTGTTCATTTTGCCTGCCTTAATCATCAGTCTGGATGATGATACAAACACAAATACCTCTGGCCATCGCTAGTCGTAATGAAATGGATGCAGGAGTTATGATTTGAGGAGGTTCATTTGCTGAATATGCGGCCAATCTCAGCCTTGATTACTCACCATTTTATCGTTTTTTTGGTAAACTTGGTTTTTTAAATTAAAGAAATAGATTTAATTTGAAAATTGAGCTCTAAACAAAGTAGTTTTATCAACTATTTCTAAACATTTTATTGACTATTTCAAAATTGTTAAAAACAACATACTTCATTTTTAAATGTTCTTTGGCAAGAAAGTGGTTTAAATTCTTTCCTTTAACCTCCTTTTATGCGTCTATTTACTTTTATACAGTTCATGAAAGCAATCTAAATGTTTCTGTTTTGTTTGTTTGTTTTGCTGAAAAACATCTTAAAAGTGAAATCTCTAGTAGTAAATCTTGAATAAGTATTTTCCCCTTCTGCCTTTGCTTGCATTTTCTGAATTCATTTCCTTTTTTCCAGAAATTTGGGGAATGCATACAACTTTTGCCTTGCTTTTGAAATGATAACTCTGCATTCGTTCTCAACCATCATTAATCATGCATAGCTGTGCTCATTGAGGCAATGTTTTTGAGAACCGATGGATGAACAAGATCTTATTAGCACTGGTTTCCATGGTTTATCGCTTATGGCCAATGTCACACAGGATTTTCAACCAGGATGGGAACGCCCAGCAGCTGGAAGTCCAGCTGCCAATTCATCAATTTGAGAAGTGAGTCTATTTCCGCCTAAGTTGTTGCATGCAAGGCACAGGGGGTTGCTTCTGTGCCCATAGTGACTTCCTCTACTGTTTTTTTTCCAACTTCCTCCACCCTAGTCATTGCCGTCGTCATCTCAGGCACATCACACACCCAGAGAAGCAATTCAGAAACTACGTGTTGAGTGAGATTTCCTTCAAGAGAATGGCAGTGGGCAGGGGCATAGACGCCCCGCTCCTCATGGCAGTTCTACTGGGACTGGGGCAAACATGAAGAAATCATTTCACCCATCTCTTTACCTCCTCAATCTCCTTTGGAAATAGCATATCCATCCCTCCCAATAAGAAGTGGTGAGGCTGGAGTCAATCCTATGGCAAAATGCTTAGACATGTGAGCAGGACCATACAAGTCCTAGCCTGAAAAAGATACTGTACCTGGAAGCAGGTCAGACAACTAGACGTAAGCAAACTCAAAGGGGGATAGCCCAATGGCGCTGGGATGTTTGTATGATGCTGAATGAGTAGATGAGGGAAAGGCACACCAGGAATGTAAGTTCAGTTCAGCTTCATCATCACTCTGGGAGGTATAGATTCTGGTCTCATTTTCCAGAAGAATTAACTAAGATTCACAGAGACTGAAGAATCCCAATGAACAGGGCAGTTATGGCATGCCTGTTTATTTAAGTGTGTCTGATTTCGAAGCCACACTCTTCATATAACAGAGAGAGGGTGTGCACATGTGTGTGTATGTAGTGCTTGTCCCTGGATAAAGTATTAAATGTGTGCATCCTGATTAGTATTCGTAACTGCCTCAGGGATTGAATAAAAGGGAGTGGAATGGAAGCATGGTTTATAGAGCTGGGGACAGAGTTGAGGAAGTGATAAGGGAAAGTCTAACGCTCATGAACTTGAAATAGCAGGAAGCAGTTTCCAGTCCTAGGCCTGAAGGAAGTGGCAGAGCTCTGGCTGTGGAGACACTGAGACAGGGCCACCATGGAGGCCTGGCAGGGATTGAGTGGGAGGGGGGCGTGCTGGTCCCACCCTGATCTGACCTCTTCCTTCTCCAGTCTCCTGCAGTGCCTCCCTTTCTCTCCAGAAACGAGGGCTAGGGAGCCTGGCTGATGCTGTTTGTCAAAGTGGATGCCTGGGGCCCAGGACAAGGGCAGAGAGCAATCAGGAGGGGCGAACGGAGGACAATAACTAGAATTAGTAGCCTTGGAATCAAGTTAGAATTGCAGAGGGATGAAAGCAATAGTATAATTTAGGAACAAAAAGAAGTCCGAGCAAAGTGGACTTGAGGTCCACAGCCTCACCAGCAGGGAAGAAGAGGCACGTAGTGAGACAGAGCAGGGAAACATCACCAGGGCCACACTAAGTACACTGGAACTACGAAGACGGGATTCAAAATATTCCTGGGCAGAGTGCTGTGTAGCAGAGCAAGGTACTGAGAACTCCTGGGTTGTGTTTTGCCCTGGGTCTTGTACGAGATATGCTTTATCTACTTCTGCTTCCTTCCTGCCCTCCTCCAACCCCTCCGGAAGTAGAGTGGCCTCATTCTTAGTAAGCCCCCATCCCACACCCTGACAACTGCCACCTTCCCTGTGCAGGCAGTCCTCCCTCGCTGTGGCCAGAAATAGCTAAGGGGTCTTAAGAACTTGGATTCTACCCTAGATGGTTGGATGACCTGAGGCCTGAGATTATGCAAACACCATTGCAAAGATTAGGCATGGCGTCCTGATAAAGCCCTGCTTGAGACAAGATGGGAGTAATGCGAACATCCCCGCAGTGATGGGTACCAGAGTGCCAGGTTTTATTAGCAGGTATACCAATCTCAGTCGGATTGTTTCATATTCCGAACTCCATGCTCATTCCACAGGAAGTGCACTCGTTGCAAAATTTAAAACAGGAAGTATGAAGTGCTGGGTTTTCATTCTGGGATGAGAACACAAGTAAGTATCATTGTGCCTCCATGGTTTTATAGGGCAGTAGATTCATCTAGGTAATCTGTTGGCCAACTGTGTTTACTGAACTCCTGCTGCATAAACTACGTGGAGAATTTTGATATATGCATTTGTTTCCTAGGGCAGCTGTAACAAATGACCACACACTGGTGGCTTCAAACAGCAGAAATTTAATCTTCCGTAATTCTGAAGCCGGAAGTCTAAGATCAAGGTGGCAGCAGGGCCACGCTCCCTCCCATGACTCCAGGGAAGGATCCTCCCTTGTCCCTTCCAGCTCCTAGTAGCTTCTATAGCTTTTTGTCTTGTGGCAGCATAACGCCAATCTTTTTTTTAAACTTAGCTTTTATTTTAAGTTCAGGGGCACATGGGCAGGTTGGTTATATAGGTAAACGTGTGCCATGGGGGTTGGTTGTACAGATTGTTTCATCACCCAGGTATTAAGCCTAGTATTCATTAGTAATTTTTCCTGATCCTCTCCCTCCTCCCACCTTCCACCCTCCAATAGGCCCCAGTGTGTGTTGTTCCCCTCCCTCTAAATGCCCATGTATTCTCATCATTGAGCTCCCACTTATAAGTGATAACATGCAGTATTCGGTTTCCTGTTCTTGTGTTAGTTTGTTAAGGATAATGGCCTCCAGCTCCATCCATATTCCTCAAAGGATGGGACGTCATTCTTTTTTATGGCTGCATAGTATTCCATGGTGTATATGCACCAGATTTTCATTATCCAGTCTTCCACTGAGGGGCATTTAGGTTGATTCCATGTCTTTGCTCTTGTGAATGTGATAAACGTAATGTGGAGAAAAGGGAACACTTACACACTGAGTGGGAGTGTAAATTAGTTCAACCATTGTGGAAGACAGTGTGGCAGTTCCTCAAAGACCTAAAAACAGAAATACCATTTCACTCAGCAATCTCATTACTGGATATATGACCAAAGGAATATGAATCATTTTTGTCAGGCCTCCATGTGCAAGCCTGGACCCAGAAGATCTGAAGTCCTGTCTGCCTCTGCTGATCACCACCCCCTTCCCCACTCCCTCCCTCCCCGCCAACCCAGCATTCGCCATTATCCCTGATAGCCCGGCGGAGCTTCCCCTGGACACAAGCTTCCCTTCACTGTAACTGAACTTACGGTAATGTATACTTCTTGTCCCCACCCCGACTACTGTAACTGATCTTACTCTGTAACTTTCCACTGCCCACCCCAAACCTATAAAACCAACTCCTATCCCACTGCCCTTTGCTAACGCCCTTTTCGACCTTAGCCCACCTGTACTCAGGTGAATAAACAGCCACGTTGCTCACACAAAACCTGTTTAGGGGGTCTTTTCATTCAAAGCACGGGTTTTTTTTTAAGTTTTATTAGAAAGACACGTAGCTCCAATCTTTGCCTCTGTTTTTACATGGTCTCCTTTGTGGTCAAGTCTCCCTCTCCTTTCTTGTGTAAGGAGACAAGTTTTTGGTTTTAGGGCCCACCGTAAATCCAGGAAGTTTTATCGTGAGACCCTTAACTAATTACATCTTTGAAGAGCCTATTTCCAAGTAAGGTCACATTCTGAGTGTTGAGTGACCATGTATTTAGGAGATACTATTTTAGCATATTATAACATGATTTAAATCTGGCCCTGCTTTTGGGAACATTAGCATGCATTATTTCCTGAAACATTCTTTCCTTATTCCCACTTTTCCCAGAAAGTTATGTGCAAAGCATGCCTGTGTGTGTGTGTGTGTGTGTGTGTGTGTGTGTGTGTGTGTGTGATTATTCACTTCGGAATAAGCTGAGTGCTGTCTCCACCCCCTCTGTCTTTCCTAAAGTGTCTTATTTCATGGGGAATTTTCATTTTCTTGCTTATACTTTACTGGGTACTATAAATCCAAATGTGCCATTTTGTTTTAATAAAAGAGAAATCTTTCTTGCTTCTAATGTTCAGCCTTCATGCTCCTGCACTCCCCAGGATCTTCTCGGACCTCATTTCATCCAGTGTCTGCAGACACGTCACTGCATCATTCAATTAGAAAAGGAGAACCTTTTTCTTGAGTTGAAAATTGTTTCCATTTTGTGGCCCATTGATTTCTTGTATATTTCATCAGGATGGCCAGGGCAGGAGGTGGGGTTGTGTCCCTCAGATGGAGGGATTTCCTGCCAATGTGCAGAGTAACCACCGTTTCCCACATTCCTGGCCTCCTCCAAAACAGACATTGGACTTACCACTAGATCCAATCTCAAAGCATAGAACATTAACGGCTCCACTCAAAGCTTGTGTGAAAATACTAAAAGAACAGCAATTTATGCCTATGTGAAGCTTTAAATTTACAGTACTTCTGTCCCTTACCTCGGGCCATCTGGAGAGGTGAGATTTGGGGGTCCTTCTCAGACCAATGGCAAGCCCGGTGTTGCCTTCTGGTTGTTTCTGTTAAGAAGGGAAGTAAAGCATAATAGCTACGATGGTGGCTAAAATTTGCTGAGTGCTTTTGATATGCTATGAAGCAGCTTTAAGTAGGTCTTCCTAATCACTTTGTATAACAGCCCTACGAGCTGGTCACAGGCTAATGGATGGGGAACTGAGGCTTCTGGAGGTTAAGTGCCTTTGCATCTTAATGGTTTCTGATAACATTTATTTCTGTATTTTTTCCTTTCCCCTATGTCAGTCAGGGTCCCCATGGGAAACCATGGCCCATTCACCTTTAGGTAACTCAAGCAGGGGTTATTTTCAAAAGTGCTATTTGCTGAGGTGCAGGAGAGTGGAGAGGAGCCACAGAAATGATGCAGGTAGTTAGGATGAATAGCGTCAGAGCTGCTGCCAATGCCGGGCCCCAACGACAAAGAGTGGAAATGATTACTGGAACCTGGAAGGGAAGGATTGGGTAGAGGACACCACCTGGTGAGAGCAGTGACCTTCTGTTAGCAAGCAAGCCAGCCTGAGGTGACCTCAGAAGGATAGTGGATACTCTGACCTTGCTCTTTTCACATAAACTATCAAAGAGTTTCAGAAGGTACCTCTAGGGAGGGTAGCCAACTCGTCCTGGTTCATTCAGGACTTTCTCAGCTTT